CAAGAGCCAGCATCCCTATCTTCTCTCCTCCTCAAGGTGCCTCTGAAGCGGCAACTCGAGGTATTTTGTTACCCCCCCCCCAAAGACTCAACCACTTGGGCCAGCTTGTTGCCAGATAGGTCCAAGATCTCAAGATGGACTGCAGTAGAGCAGGCCACCATCAACGGACCCTTGTTGAGGATATGAGGGTTGCCAGCTCTGGGTAGGGAAATACCTGGAGATTTCGGGGGGTGGAGCCTGGGAAAGGCAGGGTTTGGGGGGGGGAGAGGGACCTCAGGAGGGTATAATGTCACAGATTTCACCCTCCAAAGCAACCATTTCCTCCCAGGGAACTGATCTTGGTTGTCTGGAGATCAACTGTAATAGCGGGAGATCTCCAGTCACCAGGGGTCATTTCCTGCAGGAGCGCACAGGAGCGGAACTCCAGCAGTAAAGAGCCTGGGGGTGGGCACACGCAACCAGCCCCAGCCCCTGCTCCCAGCAGCCCTCAGTCAGAGCAAGAAGCAGCCAGGGAAGTTGCAGAGCCTGGCCCCCTGGCTCCCCGGTCCAAAACAGTCCAGTGGCACCTTTAAGACCAAGTTTTATTCAGGTACAAGCTCTCCCTCCTCTGTGAGGACAGATCTACATGTCCCATTCCCCCTCAATAGCTAGCAATCGAAAACAGTCCAGTGGAGCCTGAGCGGTGGGTGTTGCCTTCTGACACACTTCCGGTGATGTCAGGGGGTGTGGCATATGCAAATAAGTTATGCTGATGAGTTATGCTAATGAGCTCCTGCACCTCTTTTTCTACGAAATGACCCCTGCCAGTCACCACCTGAAGGTTGGCAACCCTAGCTGGCAAATGCACAGGCCCAAAGGGGAAAGGTGGTATACCAGTGTTTTAATAACTGAATTAGTGAAACTGTGCACCAAAGGGAAAGGGCATTCCGCAGGGAGGAAAATAAACCATTTTGAAATAGGGACAATTTAGAATTTCTTATCCCATCCGTTCTGACCCCCAAATTCCTGTTTCAAGATCACATCTCCTTTGCACAAATCATACACAGGATTCTTCACGCCTGCTTCATTATCTGTTTCTTTGAAACATATCTAGGGCATAAGATGTACACAGTTGCCACACACAATTTGTGTGTTAATAAATTATGTTGTGCATGAGTGGCATGCATTTTCTGACAAAATGCCATATAAATTGCAGATAAAAGCCCATAGCTTCGCAGGACACACAAAAACAGCAGAGAATGACAGTAGTTGACAAAAGTATCAACACCAGGGCTATTTTTGAGCAGGAACGCACAGGAACGGAGTTCTGGCTGGCTCCTGAGTTGGCCATGCCCAGCAGGAACTCATTAGCATAATAGGCCACACCCAACAGCAGACACTCATTAGGATTGGCTACGTTAGGGGTGTGTGGCCTAACATGGAAAGGAGTACCTGCTACAAAAAAGCCCTGGGTTTTGACAACAAACAGGGTAAACAGAATAAGAAGCAAAAGGTGGGTGTGGCTGGATGACTACACTTCTGGTAACATGGGGGTGTGGTCTAATATGCTAATGAGATGTGTCATTAGGGGTGTGGCCTAATATGCTAATGGGTTTCTGCTGTTGGGTGTGGTCTATTATGCTAATGAGTTCCTGCTGGCCTTTTTCTACATAAAGAACCCTGATCAACACACATTAAAAAGTGCCAAACATTTGGGTTCCCTTAAAATGAAAAATGAATATCCCTCACTCCCGACCACCAGCCTGAGAAGCACGGAGCATGCCCATTGCCTTCCTAGGAACCAAGTAATGTTGAGGGCAGTCAATTATAGGGGGGCAGAAAATGAAACAGATAACAGGGTGTGTGGGGGAGCGGGGAACCGGTTTGACCAAACCTCTAAAAAGGGTATACTGTATTAGAGCTGGGGATTTAGGTTTGTTTAGCTGTGATTTTTTAAAAAATATGTTAAGAGTTAATTGTTCTCAATACCGGTCATTACCTGACCAAGAAGGTATTGTTTATTGCACATCTCTGTCAGTGAACCAGTTCAGATTATTTTACTGTTTCATTTGGGAAGGCTTCACTTTTATTAATTTTTTTAAGAGCTCGTTAAAGCACTAAATAATTTTGGCCCAAAGAGTTGAGCAAGAGAGGGAAATATTCATCCTGCCGGCGGTTGCCGAATCCCCGCTGAGCAAAGCCGTTGGGAAAAGCAGGGCGAACACGAGCATCCCCCCACTCTCAAAGCATTTCTGTACAATATCCTAACTCCCTACCCAAACCATCTGGGATTGTTTAAGCGGCAGATCTAACCTTGACTGCACAGTTTTCCTAAGGAATTACAGGCGAAATCCACACCTGCGGAATGGCCACAGACCTTCTCAAGCAGACATTTGTACATTTAAAACGTAAGTAATTGAATTCAACAATAGCGCAAAGCGCGCGAGAGAATGAATGCCTCGTTAAAAGTAAAACGCACATTGAGATCAATGCACAAATGCAAGCCATTTACGTGTACGTTTCGGTGGTTATAAAGCGGTTTTTCAGTGCGCTCTGCGAAACTATGCATTCCCGACGGCTTTCCCACCAAACGAGCATCAGATGGACGTATATAACCCCACTGCCACTCAAACGAAGGATCCGAGCAGACTATAACTTTGGGACAGATACTGTGATCACAAGTTACAAGTACAATCTGTGTCCAATTTCTTTCTTTTCATACATGTGCCGAGTAGGAGGAAGACATAACACATGCCAGCGACGACATTTGCAATAATTTGCTGTATGAATCAGTTCTAGAGGGCAGCCCTGTTGGTCCACAGTAGGACAGTTAAGTTCGAGCCCAGCAGCACCTTACAGATCAACAAGATCCTCGGGGTAGACGCTTTCGAGAGTCAACGCTCCCATCGTCAGACGTGAGCAGGAATGGAAAATGTATAAAGTATTGACAACCTCTTCTTCTCCATATCTTCACTTGCATCAGGCCATAAAGTGCAACGGAGATGGGGTGACTCACACGGGGAAGAAGACCCTCTCTGCACAGTTGGTAATTCTGTACATTTCAGGAAATGGGGAAACGCCGTTTCCCAGAAACATCACCTTGGCAAGCATGTGCGGTTGAACTTAGATGAAACTTGAATTTAACATTAAATTTCTGTTCCCCAGAGAATCCTGGGAACTGAAGACCTGCGAGAGAGTCCTAGGCTCATAAATATCAACCAACTACAGTTCCCAGGATTCTTAAGGGGTGGGGGGGCCACACGAGTCCTGTGTAGCTGACTAGCCCACACGCTGCTGGCTCACTGCATGGGGAGGGTGAACAAACGTGAGCTGCCGGCCTCACCCCCTGTCCATCTCTGCATCCCTGCTGAGTTGTCTGCATGTTAAGAACGTGTATTTATTTATTTTATTTATATTTATGAATTCAATTTATAGCCCGCCCTCCCCGCAAACGCGGGCTCAGGGCGGCTCACAAATAGGCATAAGCCAACACATAAAACACGTTAAAACCATATAAGATCATTACTACAATATTACAATATAATAAGTGCTCTAGATGTTCTGGAATGATCTTCCATAAAGATGACGTCTCAAAGATGGTACACCCAATCAATGCTGTCAGCTCCACGTGATACTGTCGATCTCTCTTCCCAGGGCCAGATGCTCATGATGGTAACATAGTGGTGGTACAATAGTGGCGGCTCCTACTCGAACGCCTGGCGGAAGAGATCCATCTTTCAGGGCCTGCGGAACTGTGCAAGGTCGCGCAGGGCCTGGATCTCCTCCGGGAGCTCGTTCCACCAGGTAGGAGCCGCCACCGAAAAAGCTCTGGCCCTGGTAGCGGCCAGCCTGGCCTCCTTGGGGCCTGGCATCGTCAAGAGATGTTGCGTTCCCGACCGTAGTGCTCGAGGGGAACATATAGGGAAAGGCGGTCCCTTAGGTATGTGTAGAAGATGTTCCTGTGTGCGTACTCCTCCCCCATGCTCACCCTTACTGCTTTCCTAATGTTGCTGATCCCAGGGAGGGGACATGTGTGTGGGGCACTTCCTCTGCATGTTTGCACCACGCAGACACCTCTACGATCCAGAGGCGGTGTCATCATTCCCTGAGGTGAGGTGGCTACCGGGGTCCAGGTCTCCAAGTGAGGCCCACTGTCACTGATCCTACCACCTGCCCACTCGTGAGTGCTTTGCTGCAAACCTTCATGGCCGCACATGCTGCCCAGCACTGGCCATTGTGGCACTCCAAGCCACACAGACTGACCAGCACGGTTGGAGATAAGGCGTGCATGGCGGGGGAGTGTGACGAGTGAGACGGCCTGTAAGGAGGTGTGGGAAGGATACTAGGGTTGCCAAATCTTCTTCCCCCCACGGCGGGGGAGCGTCGCCGCGGTCCGGGAGTTGTCCCGATGGGCGACGTGCTGACGTTGGGCGACGTGCTGACGTTGGGGGCGTGGCTGAGCTCGTCAGAGGGGAAAACCATATGGTTTTCCCCTCCGATGAGCTCAGCCACGCCCCAACGTCGGCAACGTGGCTGCGTCACCTCCAGTGACGCAGCTTGGGGGGCGGGGTTCCCCCCGGGCTGGAATTCCCCTGCGGCGGAAATCGGGCCGCAGAAGCGGGGGGTTCCCCGCCCCCCGGCCTATTTGGCAACCCTAAAGGATACACAGGCGGGGAGCACGTGAGTGGGAGGGTGGGAAGGGAGGCGTGGGCAGGGGTCCTGATGGGGCAGAGGAGGGGGGCTCCTCCCTTCCCACCCTCTATGCCCAGGGCCCTCCAAAACTCGAAACCGGCCCTGCCCTGATCACATAGATGCACGGCTAGCCCACTCCCCTCACACACTCGTGATGAATCAACCTGCAGATGGGTCATCAGGCTACGGTTACGGAGACACAGAACAGACATCGGGTTTGCGGGGCAGCTATCCCTCGAGAGGGATTAGCACACGTTTCGTTTTCCCCGTCAACTCGTTATTAAAGACTTTCCAACGTTCATAGTGCAAAAGCAATCTTGAGAACTTACAATCCCAAAACTTCTTCGTGCTTTTTGTTATCCTTTCCCCAGATTTCCATCTCCAGCACATCCTTCCTGTCAGAGAAGTAGTGAAAATCAAACTGTTCCCTCCACTGTGGGTTTGCACTCTTACACAGTGTCTAGAAAACATGCAGTTATAAGATTTACTTTTCTTAAAAGGGTTGCTTCGTTCATACAACAAAACTTTTCATCTACAAAGAGAGAGAGAGAGAAATCCACACAACAGAGATTTGGACATGCAGAACCCCCCCGCCCCTTTGTAACCCTGCAGCCGAAACGAGGACCCCCGAAAATTCCGCACTCGGAAATTTCAAGTCTCTGAAATCCAAGGTTAATGCAACCTTGCCTTGGTTTCGAGTGCTAGGTTGCAAACATGTTCGGGAAATTCGATTTCCCCTGTGCAACAGGAGAGGTTCGTTTATCTCGTTTTATCCCCTGCTTTTCTCCAAGCAGGGTATAAAGCTGCTTACTTCATTCACCTCTCCTCCATTTTATCCTTCGTTCATACAACAAAACTTTTCATCTTCAAAGAGAGAGAGAGAAATCCACACAACAGAGATTTAGACATGCAGAACGCCCCCGCCCCTTTGTAACCCTGCAGCCGAAACGAGGACCCCCGAAAATTCCCCCGAAAATTTGTTTATCTCGTTTTATCCCCTGCTTTTCTCCAAGCAGGGTATAAAGCTGCTTACTTCATTCACCTCTCCTCCATTGTATCCTCTCAACAATGCTATGAGGTAGGTTGGTCTGAAAGATTGTGACTAACCCTAGATCACCCAGCAAGCTTCCATTGCACAGTTGGGGATCTGAATCTGGCTCTCCCAAATCCCACTCTGACTGCTTCCCCACATTGGATTCAAGGAATATACGCTAGGCAGGAGATCAGTGGCTGGATTTCCCAACTTTAAATTAAAAAATACTGAAACATAACTGTTGGGGAATTGCCAGTATCTTCTGATCTCCCGTACGACGAGCAGCTTGGCTCTCGATAAGGATGAAAACACATTTAACGGGAAGGATTCCTTGACTGTTTCTACATTGCTGTAAACGTTTATATGTTTTTCAAGGCAAATGAAAACCCAGGGCATTCTAGGATTGTCCGTCCCTGGAAAATATGTGTTTTTTTCACTGCTGGCTTTACTGTTAATTGTCCACACACAACTATAACACCAGAGAATGTTAACGTGTTAATTTTTGTTCACATGACGAAGTAGCCAAAGGGACTATGTAAAAATATGTCTGTGGGCTAGACAGGCTACAGAGTCACTTAATGTTCGAAAGGTAAAATTTAGGATTGTCTTAACAAAGCAAATGGGTAAAATTGAATTTACATTCCTAGCTGTTGGCCGAATGCTTCCCCTCGCTGTGTATTACAAATCCTTTGCTGTGCGCTGCGATTCTAAATGGGACTCATAGCCCACAAGGCTAGGAGAGGGGGTGTGGCTCAGTGGAAGAGCCTCTGCTCGGTATCCACAAGGTCCCAGGTTCAATCTCGGGCATCTCTAGTTAAAGGGCCAGGTAGCAGGTGATGGGGAAGACCTCCGCCTGAGGCCCCGGAGAGCTGCTTGCCAGTCTGAGTACACAAGACTGATGGACCAAAGGTCCGGATTCAGTAGAAGACAATTTCATGTCTGCTGAAGGCCCTCAAACCCAACAACACATGCCTGGAGTACACAACAAGACATTCCGTCCGCACCACCACTTACCTTACTCTTATACTTTTGGTCTCCCATTCTCAACCAAACAAACATTTGCGTCATGCCCCCTCCGGGGATATTCTTCCCCTCCAATAAGGCAACAGTGACTGTTCCTTTCCACAGCTGGTTCTTCCGTAACGAATCCTCCAACCTCGCCGTCCGCATGAAGCTCGCCTAAAAATTGAGAGAAGACCATCTAGATAATTCTCTTTTTTTCACGTTTATTTTTCATAGTTTCAGTTTAGTTACAAACATTTCATTATCTCAGATTACACAAATTTTTAGAGTCATCGCATCATGTGACATGCCTTATGTACTCTATAGTTCATTCCACTTTTCCTTTTCTTATTCTACTTCTACCTGTTTTACCCAGTTGTAAACCCTTAACCATCTTTTATTCTGTATTTTTTTGATCTTTATCCTGCAGTATTAAACTCAGATTATCCATTTGGGCTAACTCCAGAAGTTTTTTTATTAGGTCCTCTTTCGAGGGCGTTTTGTCCGTTTTCCAATTTTTGGAGCTGCAGTGGCTCAAGTGGTTAAGACGCTGAACTGCAGGCTGTGGAAGGTCAGTAGTTCAGCAGTTCAAGACCCGGGTGCCACAAGACAGAGTGAGCTCCTGTCTCTAGTTCCAGCTCCTGCCAACCTAGCAGTTCGAAAGCAAGAAATTGCAAGTAGATAAATAGGTACCACTTCGGTGGGAAGGGAACAGCGTTCCGTGCACCTTGGTGTTTAGTCATGCCGGCCACATGACCACGGAAACGTCTTCGGACAGCGCTGGCTCTTTGGCTTTGAAACGGAGATGAGCACCGCAACCCTAGAGTCGGATTCGACTGGCTTTCGAGCAAGGGAACCTTTACCTTTACCTTATTCTCGCAGCTGTTATGATATATACTAATAATTCTTGAGTATTCATTGGCATGACTCAACTTGAATGGGCATCACCCCACCTACATCTGGAGGAGCAACCTCTGTTGCTTGCACTCCCGGGTGCTCGTAGGATCGCCAACCTCCAGGTGGTGCCTGGTAATCTCCTAGAATTACAATGGGCCAAAACTACAGAGTTCAGTTCCCCTGGAGGAAATGGCTGCTTTGGAGGGTGACCTTTCTAGCCTCAAACCCTAGCTGAGGTCCCTCCAGTCCCAAGACCCCAACCCTCCCTAAGATCTACTTCTAAACCTTCAGCAAGTTCCCGACCCGGAGTTAGCAAACTTAGCCCTAAGATCTCCCAAAATTATATCTCAGCTCTGGACTACAGAGATCACTTCCCCTTGAGAAAATAGCTGCTTTAGAGGGAGACGTCTATGGTAGTATACCTTGCTGAGGTCCCTCTCTTCCCCAAACCCTGCCCTCCCTAGGCACCATACTAGGGATGCCATTCTCCAGGTGGGATCTGGAGATCCTCCGGAATTACAGTTTATCTCCAAACTACAGATAATGGTTCCCATGGAGAAAATAGATCCCTTGGAGGGTGGACTTTGGTGTAGCGGTTAAGTGCGCAGACTCTAATCTGGGAGAACCGGGTTTGATTCCCCACTCCTCCACTTGGACCTGGCTGGATGACCTTGGGCAAACCATAGTTCTGACAAGAACTGTTCTTGAAAAGAGAAGTTTCTGTCAAGAGCTCTCTCAGCCCCGCCTACCTCACAGGGTGTCTGTTGTGGGGAGGGGAAGGGAAAGGCGTTTGAAAGCTGCTCTGAGACACCTTTGGGTAGTGAGGGGCGGGGTATAAATCCAATCTCTTCTTCTTCTTCTCCCCTCCCCAAGCTCCACCCACAGATTTTCAGGAATTTCTCAGCCTGGTCTGGTTCAAGAGTATGCGTGTTACTCAGTTTTTCCTTGCTCGGGGACCAGGGCTGTAGCCAGGAGTTTGGGGGAGAGTGCCAGGGTGCCGGGGACACTAATTAAGTTAAATTAAATTAGTGGAGGTGGGAAGGGAGAAGATGGGAGTAGCTCCTTACCAGTGCTCAGAGGTAATTTCGGGGGGGATCGCGGGGGATCGCAGTTCCCCCAGGTGAGGTGTAGAGGGGCGGGGCACACGACGAAGCCCCGCCCCCTGCTTCCAGCCGCCCCGCTTCCAGCCCTCATTCAGCCAGGAGGAGGCAGGAGAAGAGGGAGGGTAAGTTGCTTCCTCCCCGCCTCTCCCCACCCCTGCCTGCCTGGGGCCAGGGAGGGCCTTTGCGGGGCTTCCTCGCACTCCCGCTGGCCTTGCAGGTCCACCGCCGGGCCCCTGATGTCAGGGGATGTGGCATATGCTAATGAATTATGCTAACGAGTTCCCCTAGCTCTTTTTCTACGAAATGACCCCTGCCAGTGCTCCCTCTAAGGTGTGGAGCCTTGTGAGCAAAAATTGTACTTTGTGAGCTCCTGGCATTAAATCTGTGAGTGAGTGATTTGGTTTGCTCTGGAGTCATCCTTCCTGAGCTGAGACAAAAATGTGCGAGCTGGAGGCTAAAAAAAAAATGAGCTAGCTCACATTAACTCAGCTTAGAGGGAACAATGCTCCTTACCCCAGCTTCAGGCTGGTGCCAGCTGGCGCACCATGGGCTGGCTCCTCTCCAGCACCGCTGCCACCAAGCACACCCAGAGGAGCCTCTTTCTCCCTCCCCTGATAGGCCCACCTCTCCTCCCCCCAGTGAGCTCCGGTGGGGGCAGGCTCAGCAGCTCCCTGATGGAGAGCTGGAGCGTGCCACTGCCTGCAGGAAGCCCGCTGAGGCCCTCCCCACCCTCCCCACCCTCCCGCCTCTCTCCCTTTACTTGGATGAATGAACGTGGTACCTCCCTTAGGGCTCCGTGGCAGTCCTTCTGGCACCCGGCCAGGCTAGCTGGCTGGCGGGCAGTAGCTATCTCTGCATAACAGGCCCCAGGCCCACATGCTGGATGTGCCAGCCTGCGGGGTGAAGGCATAAACACCCGGCCATGGGACCAGAACTGGCCCACCCCGCCCCGTAGGTGTCAAATCCCCATCCTGGCCCCTCTGGCTTAGCTCAGCTCTCGGGCGGAAGGTCCCTGGCACACACACCCTTGGCGAGAGGGCTGTGTCTCTGGAGGACGACTGCCAAGACAGAGCAAGGGCCTGGAGGCTCAGGAGAAGGCAGCTTCCTTCTGCAAACGATGGGGAGCCTACCTTGCAGGGATGCTGGGGGGTGGGGAGGGGGCGTTGCCCCCCGTGCCCCAATGTTGGCTACAGCCCTGTCAGGTACTCAAACTTTGGTGCCTTATTGCTGAACATATGAAACTGTCAGGTAGGCCTGTCATAGGTTTGGAATGTGGAGGGGTGCCCTCCCGTTTACTGTCTCAGCTCTCCCTGGCTCACCAACTGTTTGGTGTCTTATGCTTGACCTTGTAGATGCTCCAGCTGCAGTTTTCCCGGCTGGGAAAATTAACGGCCTTTGCTTTGCCTGCTTGCTTTGCCTGCACATGCGGGATGTATCCATTGGCTCATGCTTACAGGGGGGATGTTTGATACTAGTATAAGTCGGAGGCCCTAGTTTTGGCGGCCATTCCTGACACAAGCTGTACACGTGTCTCTAGTACTAGATTTACCAATGAACAGTTATCTTCTCATGAAGCCCTGTGTTGTGTAGCCTGACTAAGGACCCTGACGGAAACATGGCCACTGAAGAAAGCTGAGGTTCAGTCAATGCGCCCAATGTCCATATGGGTCGCCGGAGATCAGTGATGGCTTTTCAAAGTATGGAAGACAGCCTGAGTTCCTTCTTCGCAACACTCCTCCCGTCCTCTTCCTGGGATATAAGCACTCAGAGATCTCTTTTCCATATCTGATGAAAGGAAGCTTCAGCTCTTGAAATCTTGTACCCCCAAAATCCTGTTGGTCTCTAAGATGCCGCTGGATTCAAATCTAGCTGGAATTACAAGTGATCTCCAGATGGCGGAGAGCTGCTTTGGCTGGTGTTTTGGATGTTGGACTCTATGGCATTACACTCCACCGAGATCCCTTCCCTCGGCAAACCGCAGCCTCCCCAGGCTCTACCCTCAAATCTCCAGGAAGCTTCCATGGCCCAGTGGGGATTCGAACCTGGGTCTCCAAGATCTCAGTCCAATGCTCTAACCGCTATGCCTCACTGGCTTTCTCCCAGCAAAGCAGTAAGAGTTATGGCCTCTCACATCCTCACATCAAGAGCTATAAACACAGATACGAATCAGACGTTGGACCACATGCAAAGGTGGAATCATCCTAGGAAGAGACCAGCTTTTAGTTCAGCCAGAAAGGTAGCTGCAACAAAGGAATATCCATTCTCTCTGTCTCCCCCTCTCTCTCATACAAACACGCTCCTGCACCTCCACTAGTGGAACGTCGCACAACTTACTCTGAGCAGCTGTCGATATCTAAGGCCGGAGATAACCCTTCCAAACCACCTGAAATGCAATGCTTCCCAACGGAATCAGCTCCTACATTCACCTGCCAGGTGTCTGTACATCTATTGCACAAGGCGCATGCGAGGACCAGTTACTCCTCTGTGAAAAAAGATCAGAAGCACAGCGCAGAATAGAGACTGGCCTCTTCGAGGGATGCTTCCTGTCTGTTATGAATTCTCCAGTAGGGAAATGGTCACCACATCATACCCACTTGCGCTTTCTTGCATACATACAACGCAGCCAAAATTTGCTCTTTGTTAGTAAGAAGCAGCTATGGTTTTTGCAGTCCTACACCCTCCATATACTTGCAACTAGTTACAAAGTCCTGTTTACAACCGCACAATTTGATCTTCCTTTTACACAGGCTAAGGACTCCAAGGTCAAAAGAAGAAAATGAGATTTCTGATTCACAAATCCAGATGCAGAGGAGGGTGGTTGTTGGGGTTTTTTTTTTGTCTCACAGTCCCCCCCCAGATAAAACAAGAACGTTCCCATGAATACACTTCAAAGCTATATCCCTCCCTAAAAGCAGCAAAACTATTTCAAACTCCATTTTCTGGCCTTTCTTTTTTTTAAGGGAGTAATGTCCGCGAGGGATCAGAGGTCAGGCCTACAATCTGCCAATTGCCGAAGAAAAATGGCCGGGCTTCCGTGAAATATGCTCTAAAATAATTTTGCGGCTTTGGTATGTCCTAATTTTTTCAAATTGGATGTTTGTCTTGGAAATGCTTCTTTCTAACTTGTCCATAAAACAGGCCGGCTTTTAGCTTTGTGAGGCCTCCGAAAATGGAATC